GAGAGAGAGAGAGAGAGAGAGAGAGAGAGAGAGAGAGAGAGAGAGAGAGAGAGAGGGAGGGAGGGAGGAGAGAATTAAATAGTCATGTGGACTCAACTCAAGCAGTGTTCCGTTGAAAGAGTCGCACATCTTTGCAAGAGCCTCGGAGGGTCAGACTGTCAAGATTTGGGCATTGAAAAGGGATGTGCTTCTCGCACCCTGTAAGATGATGCCATGGCACCAACCAGTTCAGACATTGGACTTCTGTGCTGCTCGTCATGATGAGAGGAAGTTTGGTGATGGGGGTAATCATCAAAATATGTAATTACTAATTAGCACAAATATGTGGTGTTACTCACACAATTGTGAAGATGGTAATAGACACTGTGTCCACGCGTTTGAAGAACGAGGGGCCTGGTTCTACCTCGTGCTACCTCTGGCGATGAATACAGGGAAAGTCCCCAATGATGAGGTGTGAGGGGCAGGAGATTCCTTGAGGAGAAGAGGGAGACAAGAAGAACTTGGTGGTCATTGATTATCTTCTTATTTGTTGTCTTCGTCGCCATCCTTTTCTCCTCCCATCGATATTCATGTGATAGTTTTGTTTGGCGAACTCGAGCTCCTTGCAAGTTCTGAAATGTTTCTTCCTTTTGGCCTTAGGTTGTGACTTGCGTCACTCACTCAGCTTAGAAGAATGATATGTTTGCAACAGTGCAACTAACTCGTTATTTTGTTTGTAAAATCGATAAAGAAGGCCTCTGTGTCGCGTCTCTCTCGTCCTATTCCTTTTCTGAGCACCTGCTATTTTTGAGAACCTGGCTCACCCTCCGTCCTTGCAGTCTTTTTTTGATAAGACGAGCGTCAAAGAGTGACGTCTCCAAGAAAAACCTGCTGTTTCCGGGAATCAGTCGTGTCTGAGAAGATGGCCTGCACTCAGTCAGACATTGCAGCTCGGGATCAAGGGCGACGGTCCAGGGCCAGCTGCTGCTGCTCAGACATTGGCCAGCCACCCCGTAGTGCACCTTGGGGAGGCACCGGCGGCTTCCTCACTCATTCATACTAGCATTGCGCTTTAGGAGACATGGAAGCACAGGAGGAGCTTGGCGCTAAGTTGCTACTACTGTCTTCGCCCGAACCGAGCAGTTGGTCGTTATTGCGGTATTTGAAAGTTGTCCAAATATACAGCTATGATGACCGGGTGTTCGATTCAGATGAAGATAGTCGTAGGATATACTGTCGGCTTCCAGAAGGCCGTACAATGGAAGTTTCGAGTTCGGCCACGGTTTTATGTTGCATGCCCTACCTATAAACCCAGGATGGATCAAGTCGACCTGGCATGGCTCTAGGCAGACCCAGATCGGATCGCCCTGGCGGTTGACCCTAGAGAGACCCAGGTCAACCTGTTGTGACCCCTGTGGGCTCCATTTTTTATTGGACACTCTCGGAGGACGAGAGAATGATGTTTTTTTTTTCTTCTTTTCCTGATCCAATATTTTGAATTTGACTCGGTGTTGCTCATCGGCTGGGTCTATGAGTACTTACTGTCGAAGGGGTGATGGCACTTGGAAGCAGGTGATGCAGAACATGGGAGCAATCTTGCAGGCCGGCGGCGCAAGTTTCACCAGCGTTGTTAAGACCACAATCCTGTGAGTTTTTTTTGTTTTATCTTACAGTTGCTTGCGTGTTTTGCTATACCTTGTTAGTTGTTGGGATTATGAACATAGCAAATGAGAAACAGTGTAGATTGCAGTGTCTTCTTCTTCTTCTTCTTCTTCTTCTTCTTCTTCTTCTTCTTCTTCTCCTTCTTCTTCTTCTCCTCCTTCTTCTTCTTCTCCTCCTTCTTCTTCTTCTCCTCCTTCTTCTTCTTCTCCTCCTTCTCCTTCTCCTCTCCTTCTTCTCCTTCTCCTTCTCCTCCTCCTCCTCCTTCTTCTCCTCCTCCTTCTCGTCCTCCTCCTCCTCCTCCTTCTCCTCCTCCTCCTCCTCCTCCTCCTCCTTCTCCTCCTCCT